GGCTTGGTGCCAGCTGAATGGAAGTGGGAATAAACACAGTTAGTCTCGTTGGCGAAAGACTTCAGAAACACCGGGGTGAGAATTAAAACATAGACTCCGGGGTACAGATCTTGATGAAGCCACCAAGAACCCAGGAGAGAGTAGCCCAGACACCCGACTTTTTCTTTTCCACCTCTGCTTTTTCCTAAATTGTCGTAGTGTAACAGTAGGCTAGAAAACCAGCTTATTTGTGTCTCGGGGGTAAGACAAAGTTGAGGTATTGAGAGATTAAACATACGTGATGCAGTTGCTTAGAATCCAAGGGGCTGGCTACAAGTGGGCACATGCATTGGACTGGGATTCGCGGATGAGTCCCAGGAACTCGGATACATATGAATTGCCAGGGGCTAGATATCTCTATGCTTATTATCATAGAACCATAGAATGGTTTGGGTTGGAAGGGACCTTAAAGATCACCTAGTTCCAACTCCCCTGCTATTTCCTTTATTAGAAAGGAAAGCATATGGAGCGGTCTTATGCAGGAAGGATTCCTGCAACAGTTACGCAGTACGTGATTTGGCAACAAGAAAATTTGGGGCTATTATATGAAGAAGTCTTCCAAAGCTCCAGGAAGGTGAAAAAGTGTCTAGGCACAATGGTAAAGACATAACGTAGGTGCAGTGTGGTGAGGGAAGGTGAATCTGTGTTCACCCTGTGTGTTCACAGAGACTGTGTTGTTTTAAATATCTTCCAGTATTCTCAAAGTCGACTAGGGTGAGTGGAGTCTTGCCAGTGCAGACAATTTGGTCGTTTAATTGTCGCTCGAGCAACCTGGGAATGCTGCAGCAGAGAAATCTGTTGCTTGTATCTTCCCATGATCTGAAATCTAGAAGACAGGTAGCTCCATATCTGATTGTCTCTGTTCTGTTTTGAATCTGCAGCGTGAGTGCATATCCATCCACGTCGGTCAAGCCGGTGTTCAGATGGGCAATGCATGCTGGGAACTGTATTGCCTTGAACATGGGATCCAGCCTGATGGTCAGATGTCCAGTGATGAAACTGTCGGAAGTGGAAATGATTCCTTTAACACTTTCTTCAGTGAGACAGGAGCCGGTAAACATGTTCCCAGAGCAGTGTTTGTGGACCTAGAGCCAACTGTAGTTGGTACGTACCCAGCATTAGAACAGTCCGTGGAAACGTGAGGATCCCTTATGGAGTCCCTGTCGTATGTCTTGTTTGTTTAGAACAATCTAAAAAGATGTGTCTGGATGCTATTTTGACATTTGAGGTTATTCTTATTTGAAACAACTGAAACAGTGGTCTACAGGTAAGAACAGTGCTGGGAAACGCAGAACTATTTTACAGTCTCAGTACCCTTTCTAGACTGCTGTGCTGCTGCCAGCGTTCGGTTTAACTGCTGTCTGTAATCCTGTCTGGACCTGTGGTCCAGTTTTCTGAGTGAACTCTGTTCTCAGGTACAAATACTGCTTTGTATTTTGCCCCATGTTTTCCCCTAAAAATGGGGCTGAGGTTGTGCCAACTCTTCAGACTGCTCAGAGAACCTGCGGATATCGGGGGTACAGCCGATACACTCCTTGGCCATGTGTACGTGGGCTGTCGGCATGGGCAGCACACACAGAGCTGCACCGGGCAAACCTACGCTGTGCTGTTTTGTTTCCCCACAGATGAAGTGCGAAGAGGCACATACAGGCAGTTATTCCATCCTGAGCAGCTCATAACTGGGAAAGAAGATGCAGCGAATAATTATGCCAGAGGCCATTATACCATTGGCAAGCAGATCATTGACCTAGCGCTGGACCGCATTCGCAAACTGGTGAGAATTCATGCTGCAAGTCGGTACGGAAGTAATGCTGTAGCTGCCAGAATGGTGCTCTGCTGGCGTCTTCCCTGATGATCTCGTGTGTAGCTGATCATTCCCAACCAAACTCCAATCTCGCTGCTCTCCCTCCCATTAAATAAAAATCCAGTCAGTAGAACTTAACATTGGTTAGGCTCTGAAATACCATGATTTGAAAGGATTTTAAGAGCAGCTCAGGAGTACCCTAAAAGCCTTAAACAAGTGTAACAATGCTGTTATACTAGTTTATTATTTTCAGTTTGACGCATGTCATACAAAATATTGCCGGTGCCCCGGACCCCAGGTTTTGGTGGAATGCTTCATCACTGCCATTACTGCTCAGTTTTGGCCTTGACGTGGTGTCATAAACAGCACTGTAGTGGGCTGATGGGGCCCACAGTGATTGTCTCTTGAAAGGTACAAGGACCAAACCCCTTGTTTCCAGCATCCAGTTGATACCTGCTGAGAGCCAGGACGGGAACATCCACGTCCCGAGGCTGTCACTCAGCTGCACCTCACAGAATGTGGCACAGCAGCGCACGGTCGCGTTCCGATGGCCGTGCAGGTAATAATGCTGTTTCTAAACATGAAAACGCTCCTGTTCGGAAAAGGCCGTGCAGGGACACTGGCACCTCTGAGTGCAAGACACGCAGGGAAGAGGGAGGAGAATGCCGGGCTTGTTACAGCCACCCGGAACAAACCAACTTAACGAGGTGCTCTGAATGATTATTTTACCACTGCTTTCTTCAGATTCAGCACTCACTCATTTCTTCTCCCGCTGTTTCCCACCCCACTGCAGGCTGACCTGTGCACAGGGCTGCAGGGTTTCCTCATCTTCCACAGTTTTGGCGGGGGCACCGGTTCAGGGTTTACATCTCTGCTGATGGAACGGCTCTCTGTTGAATACGGCAAAAAGTCCAAGCTGGAGTTTGCCATTTATCCAGCCCCACAGGTGTCCACGGCTGTGGTAGAGCCTTACAACTCCATTCTGACCACCCACACCACACTGGAGCACTCTGACTGTGCCTTCATGGTGGATAATGAAGCCATTTACGATATATGCCGTCGTAACCTTGACATTGAGCGCCCCACTTACACCAATTTAAACCGATTAGTTGGGCAGATCGTTTCATCGATCACTGCTTCGCTGCGTTTTGATGGAGCCCTCAATGTGGATCTGACAGAATTCCAAACTAACCTTGTTCCATACCCACGGATCCATTTCCCGCTGGTGACCTACGCCCCTATCATCTCTGCTGAGAAGGCCTATCACGAGCAGCTGTCCGTGGCCGATATCACCAACGCATGCTTTGAGCCGGCCAACCAGATGGTGAAGTGCGACCCGCGCCACGGCAAGTACATGGCCTGCTGCATGCTATACCGCGGCGATGTTGTCCCCAAAGACGTCAACGCTGCTATCGCTAGGATCAAGACCAAACGTACCATTCAGTTCGTGGATTGGTGCCCGACTGGATTCAAGGTACTCGCACAGCTTTTCCACTGCTCGCTGCTTGAGCTTCTGGGCATCGGGTAGCATTCCGAGGTGCAGGTCGTTTGGCAGCACTGCCATGTCCCCGGGAAGTGTTTTGGTGGGGTGCAGAGTAATGGTTAGCTGTTGCGTTGCGTCGTAACCACGGCAAGTTGCAGCAGCTCACAGAAGCACGTCTGTAGGCCTTGGCACTCACGGCATATTCCCTCTCTTTTCTTGAAGGTGGGCATTAACTACCAGCCTCCGACGGTGGTGCCGGGTGGTGACCTAGCAAAGGTGCAGCGCGCGGTGTGCATGCTGAGCAACACCACGGCCATTGCTGAAGCGTGGGGTCGCCTCGACCACAAGTTTGACCTGATGTATGCTAAGCGTGCTTTTGTGCATTGGTATGTGGGGGAAGGGATGGAGGAAGGAGAATTTTCTGAAGCCCGGGAAGATCTGGCTGCCCTTGAGAAAGATTATGAGGAGGTCGGCATAGACTCCGTGGAAGCAGAGTCTGAGGAGGGAGATGAGTACTTTTAAAACAGAAGTCTGGAACAACGGATGTAAAGAAAAGAGGCAGCAGATGTCGTTTGTTCACTTGGTTGGTTGTTTCAATAAAGTTGTACAGGTTGCACCGCACCTACTGGTTTCCCCTCTCTGTGGTGTCTGTAGGGACCCGCTGGGCCTGCAGCCTTGGGTGGCAGCCAGTCACATGGATTTTTTGCAGCCAGTCACATGCCAGTTACAGGAATCAGGACGTTCCTGTGTGCCCTCTCCCGTGACCCCAGTGTGTTCCACTTGGGTCTTTGGCTTCTCACAAGCAGAAACTCCCACTTCAGGTTGTTCCAGCACTAGTAACGCCATTCCACACCCGGCTGCAGGCTGATCGTTCCCAGGAAGGCTGACCCCCCCGAGACTGGGGCTGGACGCTCCAGGTCGGTCCCTGGGCAGCGCTGCACCGGGGGGTCTGCACTAGCCGCGCGCAGACTCGGCGCTGCCCCC